CAATTTTTCGAAGTTCGTAAACTGCCATGAAAATCAAGGAATATCCTTTAAATTGTTCTCGCATTTTCCTGATGCTCATGTACCATCCAAAATGTTTACGAAATTTCCCTGAAGCCCTCGTTACTATGCCGAAGTTTCCGTTAATTTTCAGAGACTCTTAGAGGTCTTTCAAAGTTCTAGCAATTTCCTTGGCATTCATTGAACTGCCCTTAGCTAATCTGATCTGTCCTGATGATTTGGAAGATTTGCTGGAGTTCTCTCATGTTTCCTGAAGTTCTTGGAATGGTTTTGAAATAAATGGATCTGTTCTGAAAACTTATCAATTTAGCTAAAGTACTCGGGACTATAAAGCTACTGCGAATGAGCCTGGACAAATAAACGAGCTACTTCTGTGAAGTTTCTGAAATAATATTGGTGTTTTATTAAGTTCTCTGGAATTCTTTGAACATTCCTTCAACTCCCAAAACTTCTTAAACGTTCTCGATATTTTTCAGAAGTTAATGGATTTGTCTTCGCAACTAATCGGAACCGACCCTTACAGGTCTGTACTTTCCTAAAATAGTCGGACCTTACTTGAAATAATTACATCCACACTCCAAGCTTAATATCAAGCTTTCCCTAGCAAATGGAACTTCTTTAAAGTTTCAACAATTTTCCTCAAGATCTATCTACTTCTCTGAAGTTCTCATGACTTCTCTAAAATTAGTTAGATATATCTGAAGTTCTTAAAAATTATGAAAAGCTAATGCAGTTTACCTAAGGCTAACGGAACCAAATTTAAGTTGATGAAGCTTCCCTGAAGTTCTCAAAATGTTCCAAAAGTTTTTGGAACTTTGATTATGTTCCCTCAGTTTGCTTATGAAACTTCTTTGAAATTCTTTGAACATTCCTTCAATTCCCAACTTATTTAAAGTCCCTACAATTTTTGTGAAGTCAAGTCTAACCATTCTCCTTACTGTGGTTCTTGGAACTATCCTGAAATAAATAACACTGTCCTAATTATTTATAAACATGCCTGAGTTTATGTGGACTTCCGTATTTTTTTTGATCTTCTTGGGAAGTTTACAATTTTTTTTTATGTTCATTAAACTTCGCTGAAGTTCTTTGGACTATCCTAAAGATGTTGGAACCTCTTGAAGTTTTCACTATTTTCATGTGATCAACAGAACTTGTCTGAAGCTCCTGCAATTTTCCTGATATTCAATTTTCAGAACTGCCTCAATATTCACTGAAAAGATTATACAGTTTTTCTGAAACCATTGAGTTAAGTTTTCTTTAAGTTTTTGGAACTGTCCTGAAGCTATCGGAACTTACTCATAAAAATAATCAAGTTTTCCCTTGGTTTTAGACGTTATTGATGTTCTCAAAACTTCCCTGACATGTGACACAAATGTTGGATCATCAGAATTTTTTAAAGGTTATCGCATTGTTGCTGATGTTGATATAACTACCATGTAAAAACCATTCACATCCTTACATAATTTTAGGTGTGAAGATGCTCTATAGAATCAGATTGTTGATATCTGATGGGCGAATTTATTTTCAAACGATTTTTTTGTCACGATGGACGGGGAAATATTTGTTCACCTTCCAGAATACATATGCGCATAAGACGGCCTTAATAAAACCAAACTGTTTGTTACTGACTGACCAATACCCTAGTGGCTCAAGGTAGACAACCCTTCCGTGAAGTAAGAGATGTATTGGAAACCCGTGATATTCCCTACATGCAGGCGATCCACGAGTTTCTTTGTTTATCTGATATTAGAGTTTGATGTGACCATCCCCTTCATTCCACACATTTTCCAGCCATTGTGCCCCAGTTTGATTATGCATCTGTTTCTGTGCTACTTGCCCCTGACCAGCGAGCATTTGGTCAACCGTTCGAGAGTAGTATCTGAAGGAGGCTTCAGAAACCTGTTTCCTACCTAGATCCTTCCAATCGAAATTGTTACCCATTAACCTCGAGCCCGCCACGAGTAATTGGTACCCAATACTAACCTTGATTTACTGCTGTTTAAAATGTTAATTTAAAAAATAGGGATTTTTGGCTCCGCAAAGTGTCACACACAACTGAGCATAGTAAATAAATGAACTAGTTTAGAAAAAAAAACTACCTGGCCGGTGCTTAAATTTGTTTAATATGATGCAGTCGCATTTTTATTGGCACATTTGCAAGCAGAATTTTCGATTTACAAACGTTTGTTTTTAAGTTTTGAATATTGTCATTCCACATAGAAGAGACGTGTTGATCGGAAATCCATATCAAATCTTTCTCAAAAGCGGTTGTTGTCGTCGTCCGTGAGGTGGCCACCAGGATCGAAACCTAGTAACAACAAATTGAACGGTAGCTTGAACGTAATTACTGTGTGATATAAGGAGCTCGATGGCCTAATGGCGACTGATTTTGCTTAGCGAGCAGAAGGTTCAACTCAAGGTTTTTCGCGATATTGGATCGTTCGGACATCAATTCGGAATATCGTTTACCAAAACGAATCCTGCTGCAATCCCAACCCTTTTATCCAACATCCCAGTGATTCCTCGTGAAAGAGCAGAGGTGTTCTCGGCTTACATTAAAGCGAGTATTACATCAACATATTTCTACCCATTCCTCTCTTCACCAGCATTCGGACGTGGCTGGCACTGGTATTGCCTAGTTTTAGATCACCAGCATTTACACATTGTCATACACAAAATCTGACGTGTTGTTTTTTTCAGCTGCGTTTCTTTCTTCCGGAAATTGAACAATTATAGTTTCAAAATACTTTAAAGTCTGTGCCAAAACTTATATCCAATCATCCAAGAAGTGTCGATTTAGCGTCGGTCGTTGTGTATGTGTGTGTGTGTGTGTGTGTTTTTTTTTCATTTATTTGGTTGATGATCCGGTCAAAATCTTTCGGAGGCCGTTTGCCCAACCTGCTACCAGAATCAAACATCAAAGTGCATTTATTCACAAGCTGCTTATTAATCTCTGTATACGGCTCTTTGTGAGACAACTGGCTCTGATCATCGCTAACGTGCAATCTGAAAATGTACACTTGAAGGATCGGGGCTGGTCTTTTTCACGATGCGTGCACAGAGTGTCATGAAGAAGAAAAGTGATATTTAGTTATTGTGTGATTGGATTTGCTGGATGAGGAATTGTTTAAAAATGACTAGAGAAAATTAAGCATCGGGAATGCGCTCCCGGATATATTGATTTGGTGAGTACGTTCCAGTTGAAGATTGTTCGATCTAAATAACCCTTTTTTTGAATACATTTCATTAATCAAACATTATTATATACTGGGTTTGGGGGAGGGGCAGTCTAAGGGTTTCAAAGGATTTGTAGACTGGACAAGGGTTCGTGGATTTGCCAGTCCCTCGTCACGTTTTGATAGACGTACATCTTGTCGTTTGTCTTCAAAAGGTCTTCAATGAAGTTGATTCACCCTGCTGCAACAAACCATCAGGCAGAACTTTACAACCAGTGAAGTATCTGCAGCCACAGGTAATCCTTGCACTTATGGTGGGTTCTATTCACATCATCACATCACCAGCATTTACACATTGATGATGATTGCTAGTCCCAAGTAACGTCTATTGGTTCTCTGTGTAATTACTGCTGATCTGGAAATTGGAACGGAGGACGGAGGACGGAATTGCATCCTCGGGCGGTCAATTATGCTCATGCTCCACATTTAAAGGCGCAAATTGAATATGGACGAAGACAGAACATTTCTCATGTTGTATGTGTGCAGCGCAATTTAGCTCGTAAATACGATGGACATCCAAAATTCACTTCTGCGATTAGATGAGCAGCTTTAATAAGAGGAGCGCATTTCCGCACCCTTTTAACACTCCGAACACGATGCCTCCGGTAAAATATGAGACATTGCTCAGCAATTTATTGATAGATTTTAAATCAACTTATACCGAATAAATATTTAAAGTATGTTGTTTCAAATGGCGCCAATAGATCTGAAATTCGTCTATAAATAGCTGAGCTATAACATTTGAAACATTTTAATTATATATCATTATTAAGGAGACTTTCTGCCCTGCGCTGGCTCGTCTCCGATATTTGAAACATTGCAAGCTTGCCGTTACACATTTTACTGGAGACATTGTGTTCGCATTGTTAAAATAGAGGGAAATCATGAGCAACCCCTTTTGTAGGCGTGGGTAAACCGCCAAATCAGTCCAAAAACAGCCGTGAAAAATGATCTGAAAACACGGAAATAGTAGTATCAAAACTACAATGTAGTATTAAAACCCCTTTTAAAACGTTGAAATTTTAAAACAAACTCGACTGGGCTAAACTTTCATCACCTTAAAAATTAAAAAAAAAAATCATAAAAAAAATCGAAATAATAATTTAGAAAACGACTCTTCTCAGAATAATCGTGCGCGTTAAAATGGCACTAAGATCGCCAAAAATGACCCACATAAGTGAAAATGACCTAGACTTTTAAAACTGGCTTTAAAATGCCAAAATGCCCTTGAAAACAAAAAAAAAAATATATGTATAAAATCCTATATTGGGGGGCGACCCCGGCGTAGTGGTTAACATCCATACCTCTCACGCCAAATTCACGAGTTCAAATCTCACCCCGGACAAGTCACGAATGACCCAAGAGTGTTAAAGTGACTATAATAAAAAAAAACAAAAAAATCCCATATGTTGTTATTACAGTTAAATATGGATAAACATTTAAGGCAAATTCGAAAATACATGATCAATTTGTCTCACTTGAGGGTAGCCAGTGAGCTGCCACCCATACATAGATTGAGTACCACTGCATTTAAAAACTCCTTTTTAAGAACCCCGTTGTAGATGCCCTAACAACGCATTCATTCGCTTTCTGCAAGACACTTAAAATGCAATATGCACACACCACTCAGCGCTGCCAGAAATAAACTCCCCATCTGCCTTGTACCGTCCCGCTTTTGCGTCGGCCCTCGGTTCAACTCTGATGGAAATTTATGACGTGAATCTCTGTAGCAAAATGGAAACCTACCTGCAACGGCGGACAGCTCTGCCGGTGATCCTTCCGGATGGCCAACTCGTACCACGGAATAATGGGCTTACTCCGGAGAGTGGTCTGGCTACCGACCTTGTGGTCCAGTAGCTGCTGTTCCGGTTTACCGGTTCCTTGAAGATGGGCTTCGTTCAGCGAAGAGGTCGATTTGCTTTCACCGACAGCAGTCATCGGATAGCCCGACGAAGATGATCCACCAATGCGAACATCCCGCGGATGTCCCATCGTGGAATAGCCTCGCGTTGACTGCAGACGCCCCGAGTCCAGGACGTTCAGCAATTCGGCACTTTTGTGGATTTTCGGGTAGCTCCCTGGGCCTCCGTCGTAGCCCGAGTCCGTATCGCTCGATTGACTACCCGTTGCTAGGAATTTCTTTGGCTCTTCGTAAATAATCTCCGAGCGGGAGTTGGAGTAGGATTTCCTGTATTGGAGCGAGGATGACTTGCCATTCAACAACGGCTTCAGGGTTTCATCCGGTCCGAGGAATCCACTAAGGCTGGTGCTCTTTCCACTATTGATGGGATTAGAGTACGTAGATGACCCCGAAGAGCAGTTATCTACGCTCTCCGGTGTTGACGAACGGTAGCTGTTGCGGATCTTCCCATACGGAGGGCTCTCCGGTCTCGTAAACAGACTTCCATTGTCTATTGCTTTCGACTGGATCAGCTTCAGCTCCGTGATATACTGCGGACTCTTCAACGAAGGCAGTTCGAAGTCGTAATTCAGCCGATCGATACATTCCGAAGACTGCATCAGGCTTATGTAATCGCTGGTGTCCTCCTTCAAAGTGGGACTCTTACGTGGTTTGAAAGTTTCGTAAGTCAGTGAAGCTGTGCAGAAAACATCGTCGTCATTTCGATACGGTCCATTTGAGTTTTCCTTATCCTTCGGTTCGCTCTTGGTCGTCAACTCCGAGGTGGTCCTGGGCGGTACCGGTGGAGGAACACAAATAAGCGTCGCCGATGTACTCTTGTACGTCAGGCTGTTGCCATTGTTCTCGTAGAGTGGTCCCGAACCGGCCGATTTCATGTTGGACGAATTTCTGCGGGAACTGGACAGCTGCTCCGACCGGCTGGTGCTCCGGGTGAGTCCTCGCGTGCGGATAGTGGCAAAGCCCTCCGGAACGTTCGGCTTCATCAGACTCATTGCGCAATGTTGCGTTCGATTTCGCTTCCGTAAAAATCTAGTCAGAGGGTCGGGTTCACTATCGGTGCAGTTTCGAGGTGGTCATGACTATTCGCTGCCTAAAGGGAGAAGGGAGAACATAAGAGGAAACCAATTTAGCTAATTGAGTTCAATCAAGGAGAATGGTGCTGTTATGATACGGAGGTCGTCTTTTGCTGTTATGGTTTGGTCAGTTACTTTTGCTTAGCATAGGACCGAGGATCGTGTCTGAAGTTAATTGAAATTGTTGATTTTTTGTATCAGGAAGCGATGTTGTGGTTTTGTTAAAATCGATTAAATGCATCTGCTGGAATATACATTCCTCGAAAATAATGTTTAAGATAAGTATTAAGTGATAAAAGGACGCAAAGGAAGGTTCAGCGTTTGCTTTAGTGAACAAATAATTCCAGTGATTCTATTCAGCATAACATTAGTCGATGTTAAAATTTATTTGCATTGGAAATGGCGTTTAAAAGCTGGCAAATAAAAATACTGCCGTTTTGTTGATGAAAAACGTAAAATCAAACTCATTAGTACTAAAATGTAAATGTCGATCAAGGAAGATATCTGTTATTATCAAAAAGTTTGGAAAACTGGTATTCCCTCAGTTTATTGTTTTTTTTCCGCTTGGGACCGATAAGCATTTATGGGCAGTATGTACAGTAGTAAAATATTTTATTCAGTCTGAAATTTAAATCTACTTAACTGAATCGTCCCCACTAATATAAGGAGATAATTGTTATCATATAATGACCATCATTGATCAACCCCGACTGCGACTAATCCAATCGACAGCTGCCACCGACACTTGCTTCAAAGTGCCGATTTGCGATTGATACCAGCCGCCATTCATGGGGTTCTCAACAGATGCTCTCACCCGCATTGGTCTTCCCTTCCACTTTTAATTGAAAACGATACCGCTCCGCTAAAATGATGTCAGTTTGCCTCGAAGTCATCCCAGCTTTTATCATCAGAACCAACGTGACCGGCCAAGGAACCGAATCATGTAAATAACGTTTTAACGCAAACGTATGATCAATTAAAGCTGATAGTGCGTTGAACGCGAACGGGCGAGATGCTCGATCGGAACCGGTTCTGAGCTCACTCGTCGGTCGGTGATGATATGGTGCCTTGATGCCAAATCAAGGTCAACAACAACGGTAGGTGGCGAACTACCTTCACAAGGTGAAATCACCTGATGATCACACTCGCGCTCCAATGTGGTGCTGGCGGTTTTAAACAATTGAAGCCTCATAGTGGGATTCTGGGAAATTCACATACATTCCTTTACGTCAGAGTTAGCTCGTACATTGAAATTAATTAACACCCCCTTTTCGGTCTTGAAAACGACTCGCGCTTTTTGGTCAAACATTCGTCCAAATTTTGGACATTATCAGACACACTCTAAAACCTGTGCGAACTGCTTCCTTGTCCAACGTCAGACGGGCCTCTTGTCTGTGCCGACGAAGCTTGTAGCTAGCAGCGGCGATTTTGTTTTTGCGATGCGATAAAATTGATACGTGCGATATTAGCGATGGTCGTTGCATCGATGTTGTTTAAATTACAAACAAGTGTCTTGTATTATAAGGAATCGTTAGCCAATGGAATGCAACGATTTTTTTTTTTGGGCGGTATGCGCCTCGAAGGTGTACCTACTACACTTTACGATGCTATTTTGTTCGTGACGTGAATGGTTATGAATTGATTGAATTTTCGATTTCGTTATACCATACGGCAGTGGATCCGTCATTGGATGCTTGGAAAGTCCCAACGGTGATTGAATATGAATATTTCTAGGTGATAACTTTCTGCTCTGATTGGTTGCGTGAATTCTATTGATGTGAGATTTTTTTAAATTTTTACTAACTGAGCTTTTCTTTTCAAATGCCCCAAAATCTACATTCAGCAAGGTTTTTTAAGATTGATCGGAAAAAATCACTGGAAAAGAAATCCAATGTTCTTGTGTGTCAATTTTTTCGACCCATACAGTACTGTCATGGTAAATTCAAAATTGGTTACTCACCCCCGTTTATCTCAAATCCCTATTAAGAGCTCCCATAATTGCAATAAAATAGTGTATTGTATTTTGCATTTCTAACTGGACTCCTCAAAACCGCGGAATCGTTAATAAAAGTGCGATTTTTCGTTGAATCATCTTGGTGTCTTCTGAGCACTTATTCATAATGCGCAAAAAGCACCAAAACGATTTAACGTAACAGCACACTTTTATTATCGTTTCCACACTTTTTGTGTCACTTATAATGTGCGCAATGCGTTATTGACACTGAGATATGGGTAAAACTTATCTGCAATCAGCTCGCCATAAGACTTAAAAATGCTCGTTTCGTTGTCTTAGTACATAACTTAAAAACGTCAAAGTGGGTTGGAATACCCCTTGGAAATGACTAAATTTGTTGTCCACCAAAGCTCTCACTTCAGATCACATGAGCATTCAAAAATAGGAAGATTGACGGGCAAATTGAATACATTGGACTCTAGAAAATATTATGAGAGATTCCAAATGTTATCAAAATTTTCATTAAGTTCTAGAGCTTCCGCAAGATTCCAGAAGTTCTAGGAAATGTTTTGAAGTTCATATAGCTTTCAGAAAGATTTCTACACTTTCGTAAATTTCTTTAAACATTGGAAGATCTTGAACTTCATTGAACTTCCCTGAAATAAAATATATCATATTAACAATATGATCCATTCACGCCTTTTCCAAACATTGCAAAAGCGATTCGAAAACTATTGCTTCACGCACCATCTAGCGTTGAACAAGCTCAGAAACAATCATCCGCGCAAAAAGCACTTCAAATTATTTTCAGAAATTACATTTTGTTCATTACATGAAAATTTGTCTGCCGTTGTCATCCAATAAAATCATACGCTGAAATAAATACATCTTAATTTTATGCAAATTTCAATCGGAAGATAAACATTGGTAGCCTTTTTGACCACAGAGGCCATTTCATCACTAAGCAATTGGTTCACCAGCTAAGCAAAAGAGTGGATCATATTGTTAATATAATTTATTTCCTAAAATGCTCTTGACTTCCCTGAAGTCTTCAGTAGTAAATGTTCCCACAATTTTCCTAAAGACAATGAAACTGCGTTGATGATGACGGGTGATCACTTCTCTTTAGCTAACTCGCTGATCATCTCTCCATTTTCGCTGCAGCTCCGACAGTATTTGCGACACTGCCCTGCTGACGACCCTCCACGTCCTCCATCCCGGCACATTTGACTGACGACATTTCCCAAGCTAAGGGCCGGCATCTCCACTCTTTTTTTTCCTTTGGTTTGTTTTTTCCGTCGATCTTGTTTTCCGTGCTGAGCACTAATGCTACCGACGTGCCAGGAAGGCAGCTCCCACACCTGGACCCTACCTATCGACCCATCAACTCATGAACCGGGGACCAACGGTTTTACTTCCCATCTGAAGGAAGGCGTGATCAGAGATGTTATGCCTCAGAACATCCCAGCGGCGCCGACTGGGATTGAACCCAGGCCTGCTGGGGTGAGAGGTAATCACGCTTACCACTACACCACCGGCGCCGTTGGCATCTCCACTCGCACTGCCTCAAATCTTGGGCAGTCGAAAACCATGTGCTCCGGCGTTTCGTCCACGTTGCCACACTCCGGACAGAGGAGTGACGTTGCGTGTTCGAAGTTCAGCCAGGTCGAAAGAATCGGTATTAGCCTGTGTGTCCATCTACACTCCTGCTGCCACTTAGCAATCGACTCCGTTCTAACCAATGTCCGTACTCCTCTGGTATATCTTCGCATATAGCACTCGGTGTCCTCCGCAAAGGTGATGACGACTCGCATGGCCATGAGGTGGAACGTACTGTTCAATTTTCTTTGGTTCTTCTTCGTTTTCAGCGCTGCATCCTAGGCTGGACCTCCATACCTCAGTATCGACGACGATACACTAGCCAGAAGACGCCTCTTGCTGCTGCTTGGTCCAGAGTTGTTCGGCATGATTCTAGCTATCGCATTGATGGCCTTCGCCGCCTTCTCACATGCGTAGTCGACGTGGCTATTGAAGCTTAGCCGGTCATCGAGTATCACTCCAAGATACTTCGACACGCGCTTTGATGCTATGGCGTTCTCCCCGACGGTAATTTCTGCCCGCTGAACAGCTTTACAGTCACTGACCAAAAGCACTTCCGTTTTGTGGTGGGCTATCTGCAGCTTCGCTCCTTGCATCCAGTTGGAAACCGTGTCGATCGCCTCGGTTGCCAGAATTTCCACCTTTTTCAACGTCTCGCCTACTACCGCCAAGACGACGTCATCCGCAAATGCTACGATCTCGACTCCTTTGGGCAGCTTCAGCGTTAGCACGCCGTTGTACATCGCGTTCCAGAGCGTTGGGTCAAAGATGGAGCCTTGTGGCACACTCGTCGTGATCCGGATTGATTTCTTTCCCATGTCCGTCTCGTAGATTAGAATCGGGTTCTGGAAGTAACTCCTTATAATGCTACACAGGTAACACTAGTTTACAGCATTTTTGAACTCGGTAAGGTGATGATCATTTCCAATGCAAAATCCTACGCTGAATTCAATGCCGTGGTCAGAAAAAATTAAAGTAGAGCCATTTTTGAGATATACAGAAATTTTGATTTTTTGAATTTTGGACAAAAGTACGATTACTAAAATGTCAATATCTTTGAAATTAGTGCACCAATTTTAAATCTTTTTTATGAATATGAAGCTAAATAAATTTGCTATCGTTCACTTGAATATTATGTCTTAATTAAAAATTTAATTTTGAAGTCATTTAAAAATTTACAGCATTTTTTTATTTTTCCTGCGAATTTTCCATAAAAATCTTGTTTTAATCAACATTTTTAATGGGATAAAAAGATTCAAAAAATCATTCCATAATTTATTCTTTAAGTCCATTCAAATCCGGAGAAAATGAGCCTTTAATGGATGAAATCGGTTGGAAATTGTCGAAGTTATGAGCATTTTTGTAAAACACTTAAAAATGTTGCTGAAATACAACAGCTTTAGAGTTCCTTTTCTAGGTGTCGTTGTAAGCATCCAAATCGCATGTAAAGTTTTCATGGGAGAT